CCACGAAGTACAGAAAATCAGCTTAATGCTGGTGTTGGGCTTTTGGTCCTCTGTGCATTGAGCTGAGCCATCTGAAGAAAGATGACTGGGGATTTCCCGGAGTCAAAAGGCCAGGGGCTCAACCTCTTGTGTCTGAATATGATCTCGACTCTTCTATACATTTTTTTTGGTAGGGGGAAGTTTTCTTGAGAAAAGCAAACAATCCCTCCTAGTTTACGTTTCTTTGGCACGAGCCACGTGAGCATGTTGGGCCCGGGCTATTTCTGGAGGTGTGCGTGTTTGGACACACGCAAGTGTGGCTGTCTGAAGCCACCAGGGTCCTTTGCTGGGCCAGAGCCCAGGGAAAGGAGGGTGGAGAGTAGGTCACTGAGGCACGTGAGGGGCCGTATCCCAGACTCCAGCCAGAGACCAAAGCAAACCACTGCACACCAAGGGCAGCAGGCTTCCTCCTGAGGCTTTCTCTGCAGACATCAGACAAGAGACGTGCTTTCCATGCTGGGCGCCTACACTGCCCCGATCAATTTAGACTTCTATTTCTGGGAGCTGATTTTTTTTTTTTTTCCTTTTTTTTTAAACCCGAAGCTATCTTAAATCCGCATCCAAGTACAAGCGACTAAACTTGAACTGCTCTCAGGACGCAGTCTGTGCCAGCTCTGCTTTAGACCCTGACTGCCAGGGAGGACCTCGAGCCAGGGATGTGCTCCCCCGAGAGAGGGGGGAGGTTGTTCTCCGTGCCCCCACAAGGTGTCCGTCCTCTTCCCCCCTCCCTGCCCCCGTGCATTTGTGGGAAGGTCTGTGAGGCTAAACCCTGGAGAGGAACTCCTTGTCCCTCTAATCCTCCTGTGGTCTGTCCCCCCCCGCCCAGCTGTGTGGCCTGTAATCTGAGGAGACCAGTGCCTTTTCGTGTTTTATACATTTTATTCATACATTTCTCCAACTTTGAAATGACAAAAGCCCAATTCTATGGTTTCCCATTACACAGCATCCTACAGGTATGTATATTCTACAAAGAATACTATGGAGTTTCTCTTCCTCCCCTGTCACACGAGATAACTGCTGAGGGTTCCATCGGTCTGTACTGTAACTGGCCGCACACGGCGGCCCGGTGGTTCCAGTGACAGGGCAGAGGGATCAGGGCGGGAGGGCGTGTGCTAAGGCATGTAAATAGATACACACAGAAAGAAAAGCGGGACATTTACAGAGAATCCGAACCTTTCCGATCCCCTCACCTCCTGGGTGTTGAAGGAGCCCTCCTGCACGAATGCTCTTGTGCGCTAAGGCTTCGCTGTACCCTGCAAATACTTACAATCGGAAATGGTGAAATATACAACAACTGTTAACATCGCTGTCTTTTTATCACTGAGACAATACTTCAAAACCTTTTATAAAAAGGCAATTATACATACAGAGAAAAGAACACGGTGGCAAAACTTTATGCAAAACAACCCCAGAACTGAGTTTGAAGGGCGACACACCTGCATTGCCATTGAACACGATGGCGTGGCCTCGGCACGTGAGGGCGGCGTGGCTTCCGCATGGGTCCGGCCGCTGCCCCCCTGGCCCCCCCCCCGCTGCCACCTGCCCACCCGGGCGTCCTGCCAGGACACAGCTGAGACTGGAGGTCCGTTCCCCCAGTTCTTGGTCTCTTCAAAATGAAAACGAGGTGGGGCCACTCCCTGTGGAGGAGCGCCCCTTTCTGCTCCCAAGCGGAACTCCTTGTAAGAGGCTGCCCGTCCCCCGTGCCCCGAGCCGTCAGCCCCAGGCCTCTCCTGCGGGGAGCGCGGCTCGGTCCCTTGGCTGCAGGCCGGAGGGAAGGGGCCGAACACCTGCTCTCTGAGCATACATCGCTACAGAGTTGTGCTTGGGGCCAGAAACGGGGTCTCTTGTGTGGTGACAAACATCTCTCTCCGTTTTCTTTTGCTCAGTCCATTTGCACAGGTTCAAGAGGGTTGATGGAGGGTCAGGTGAGAGGTGGGGGGCGGCGCGCTCTGGATTTTCTCTGCCTCCGAAGGGCTAAGACTTGGCAGTGCCTGTCCTAGAGGTGGCGTGGCCCCCCTCCCCGAACCCCCCGCGGGCCCCGGTCTGCCCACCTTCCGCGGCCCAAGAACGGCGGAGAAAGGAGCAGATGAAAGGGATGGGGGGCCGGTGAACATACCCTTCGTGTCCCTTTCTTCCGCTTCCTGGATGCGGGCCGCAGCCGGACTTCACTCACGAAGCCCGAAGACCCGAGACCTCCGAGAGCTCCAAGTTTAAGGCATACCGTAAGTGAGCGGGGGCCAAGCCAATGGAGTAGGCCTGATGGGCACAGTCCCTGAACCGGAGAGCTCAAAGGGAGAGGAAAACCTTACTTCCAAAGGGGTAAGAAAAGGAAGAGTTCTACCAACGGAAATGATTCATGATGAAAGCTGGTAGCCCTTCTGCAAGCTGCGTCAAGAAGCAGAATGCCTTTCAAAGAGAATTAGAGGCGCAGAACAAGAGAAAGGCGCTCAGGGACCCTTAGTCTATGACAGGCTGTAATCAGCCTCAGTATGTTAAGCCCTTGTGAAGAGGATGGAATTAGGAAGCTGTGTTCAGTTCTGGAAAAACAGACTCCTCACCCGCCCCCCAACACACACGCTTGCGTTTGATGATAGGAAGCAAGGAGGAGGAGGGATGGGGACCGGAAGCGGCTTGTTTTGGAATGCCCATTGCCAGGTGCCTTCCCTTTCCAAGGGTGGCTGTGTGGGAGGCAGTATAATTAAGAATTTATTAACGAGAAAATCCTCCTGCTAGCGTTAGCAGCATGTTCTTGCCCAAGAGATTGACCTGAAATGAAAAGGACATCACATCAGTGGGAGACAAGAGAGTTTGCTTTTGGGCTGCCTGTCCCCAAGGAGCCGCGTCCACTCTGGGCATCTCCGCTGTCCCGTTTCCCCGAGGGTGGCTCAACTGACTAGACTTTTTCAAGGAATGAACTCGAAGCCTTGATGAACAGGTAACCACGAACGATTTGAAAAGCAACAAGCCCTCTCCTCTGCAGTAATGAGATCAGAGGCTTTCCTAAGATCGCCGGGGGTGGGGGGGGGGGTGGGAAGGCACTGAGGCTGCAACCAACGGGCCGCCCGGCGTTGGGAGCTGGGGCTGGACGTGGGGAAGAGGAGCAACTGCTGGGTCCTTCGTGCAGCGCAGGCTCTTCATTCTCTTTAGATAACCCGCCACCAAAAGGATGGGCTCTGAATGCAAGTAGCAAGAAGTAGGTCACCCATTTCTTTTCTTCTCTGAGGCAATATTTTAAACCATCTTATCTGACAGGAGATACATTTAATTGTCTTTTAAAAAGCTACCATATTATCTTGACACTGAGGAAACTTCCAGATGAATTGAAATGAGTGACATTTTCCTTTTTAGTGTTAAAACTGAATAGGCTGCTCGTGCAAAGGAACTACTACCTTTTTAAAAAAAATCAGGACCCTTCCTCGTAATGAATGATCCCGCATATTAAATACAGCCCCTTTTTTGCCGTGGGGGGTGGGAACCCTCCGGAATATGGCTCAACTGACCAGTGATAAGATTTGGTGATTGTAATCATTTGCTCCGGTCTTTAAAATGGGGGGAAAAAGTGATTTTGCTGATGGGACGGAAGCAGTGAAGACGCTTTTTAGTAATTTGCTTGCTTAGTGGATGAGTGTGATGTAGCAGCAGTTTTGCTCGGGGATTATTCTGAATTTAAGTATTTTCTGCTGGGTCGTAAAGACATTACTTTCGAGAAGGGCCTGTGTGAGTGGAATGGAGCCGATGAGCGCCCTGAGAGGTTCGGCCAGGACGAGTTCTGGGTGCTGGGCTTTGGCCACCCGCACGGGGCGAGCGTGGTGCCCGCCTGTGTGCCTCCGGTCGAGCGCTAAGTGCTTCTCAGTCCTGGGGCCACAGACACTGAAACTGGCATTGCTTTGCTCTTCTTCTGCTTGATCCACCTCTGTCAACGTGGCTTAAGAAGGGCATCCTCAGCATCTCTGGAGATGTGGCCTCCAAGGGCCTGAGACAGGCTGTGGGCGTTTCTAGCAGAGGGAGGGAGTTGGTGTTCCCCACGTGGTAGCTGTATTTTTCTTTGTGCTTCACTGGAAGAGAGGTAGAGCGGGCGCTTCCACACTGAGAAGAGCCCGCATTGTGGTCAGTACCATCACGGGAATGACTGCCTGGACTTGGTGTTGGTTAGATTGAAACCAATCCTAACACAGCTCCAAACAACTCGGGGGGTTTCTTCTCCATCCAGGGTGTCTCTGGCTTGGCGGTTTGGTCCCCCTGCTGGGGGGCCTCAACAGAAGCCGTTCCCGCAACACCTGGGAAATTGGAAACTCATCCGGTCACTGACAAAGGACGACATGAGAGAGAGAGAGAGAGAGAGAGAGAGAATCACCGTTTTAAGAAGAGTCGGTGGGAGGGGAGGGGGACACCCGAAAAGGAGTCTACAACTGCCTTTTGTGTGCGGTCCTTCAACCTGTGCAGCTCAGAAGCCGCCCTGCACATCCTGCCAAGGCACAAAGCGACAAGGCCATCTAACCAACAAGAAGCGACCCGGATGGTATTGCCTCAAGGATCTCAGGTTACCGGAACCACTTCACACCCTGCCACTCTAATGAAGAATATTCCACTGACCTCCGGCCAAGAGTCAGAAAACCCTCGCCTGCATCTCCTGGATTGGAAGAATGGGACCTCGTGGAAGGGCGATGAGATGGTTAATGTCTCTAAAGCAACAAGGACAGATGGTTCTCCTGTGCCAAGGGAGATAGCAAGAGGAAGGAGCCACCCCAGACAGCCTCCAGCACACGGTGGCCCTCGGGCGCACTGCGCTCTGGGAGCCAGACGAGGTCCAAGCTGTGCTCTGGCCGAGTGTTGTGTTGTCCTGCCAACTGAGGGTCACTCCTGGGCCTTCTGTGGTTCAATGAGCATCTAAAGGATTATCTAAAAGATCATCGGCTTGTAAACCTGAACAAATCTATAATGAAATGAAGGACCCAAAGGCATTTAATTATTGAACACATAAAAGGAAGTATATTTAAAAAAAAAATTGGTCAAACTGTCCTGTTAGTTATCATTTTAAAGGAATTTACAGGGCTGTTATAGATTATTCTTTTGGAATAATTCAGTTTATAGCAAATGCCTAAACTGGTTTCTTCATTGCACAGTATATTCTCTTAAAATGGGTGCTTTAAAACAATTACATACATATTAAAAATCCTCATTTCTTTGCTTAATTAAAACGTTAATACTCTCAGACAACACAGATCTGAAATGGTGAAACCAGCAACTCCCCCTCCCACCTTACAACAAATTAAATTGAGACAAAATTACAAACACATTTCACTATATGATTATTATTAATAAAAATCAGTTTTTTTTTATAAAGTTGCCCGAAATGCAAGGGATGTGCATAGGTTTACAACTTAGCCATAATAGCATTTTATTCTTATTCCCCTGGGTGTGCCCCGTGAACGGAATGTACTTTGCTGTAGATTACAGATTGTTTTGTCCAACACAGACACACCGACAGCATAAACGCTCGCGACTGTCCACATGCATTAAGAGTCAAGACCCAACTTCAAATCTCTAAAAGGTTTACAGGGTGCTTCAAAGAGACAGTATCACATTATCTGGATGTTACATAAAGGACTTAAAAAAAAAAAAACTAGTCTAAAAAAAAAAAGAAAAAAGGCCTTTAAAAATTTATGACTGTTTTGTAATCACTAGACTGATTATTTCAAATAAATAAAGGAAAGAAAGCTATTCCAATCCATAAAATCAGACTCTAAAAAGAATGTAGTGTTCCACCCCCAGTCAAGGTAACAGAATCATTGTTTATTATTAAAATAGATTATAGAAAGCAGCATCTATTTTGTGCAGTTTTTAGGGGCCTTGGAAATAAAAAGCTATGATTTCCAAAAATATAACATTCCAAAGGATTGAATAATACATACATTTAAAGATACATTTTATTAAAGTTTAGGAGAACTGATTAAAAAAGATACTGTCTCTTTAAATTAGTGTGTAATTGTTTTTCTCCTCCTATCTATTCAGACATGACAATAATTATAAATGGAGGTCACACTACAACTAGGTAGTCTCTAGGGACCATGACCTGCTGACACAAGGCCGATAACAAAGAGGCTTTTCCACGGATGAGGTGGCTCCCAGGTAGGCATCAGGTAGCTAGCTGGGGAGAGGCCTAATAGACCCAGGAGACCGGGACCCACTGCGGGGCTGTGCACACGAGCTCAACGGCTTCCTCCAGATGTCTGATTGTCTCATCAATTTCATTGTTGATAATTGTGAGATCGAAGTAGTGTGCGTATGTTCTCTGTAGGATATCGGACTCCTTCTGCAGGCGCTGGAGAGACTCATCCTAAAGGGTGAGGGGATGGAGGGTGGGGGGGGGAAGGGAGGAGCAAAGAGGGGACAGAAGTCAGCCGGATTCTTTCTCTTTCCACAGTTCTGCTCTTCCCAGGGGCAGACACGGTCAAGGCCAAACCTTGATGTGCTGCATCAGGGTACGAGGCCAAGTCTGCTTCGTGACCGAGGTGACAATGGGCCCCGGGATGGCAGGGTTACAGAGGAACGGCCGGCAGCCTGCCGGCTCCCCCTGCAACAGGAGCTCCAGGGCCCCCAACCCCACCCCCGGACCAGAGAGACCGGACCATCTTGGGCACACACGCTGCCCCGCCCCCACGCCCGGCACCCCGCACCTCCCTCGGCCCTCTGCACGCACCAGCACCGGGCCCCGGAGCCCCGCTGCGTTTGCACCAAGAAACCGCTGCCTCTGGCCAACAAATTAAGTTGTATTTTCCCCTTTTCTACTTCGAGGTCCAACGTGTTCCAGGAATTCAATTACATCTAATGGCCCACACTCAACAGCAGCGGATGCCAGAGGCAAAAAGCTTTTTGGGTGTTACAAATAATGGATGAAATGAGGCCATTTCTCAGCGACCAAGGCAAGCCGCATCTGAGGAACCCCCTCGCAGCGGTCTACGCTGGAGACGGCCGGACACGGGGCGCCGGGTAGGAGGACCCGAACCTCTGCGGGAAAAGCAGCTACCGAGCTCTCGGGGGCTCTGCTGCAGGGAAGGTCTTTCCTCCGCTCCTACATCTTGCTGCGGATTTGGAGAGCCCTCTCCAGGCTGAGCCCATGGGAGGCGGCCTTGCGGGGTCCTTCGTTTGTCCCACGAGTTTCACTTTAGCTTCAGGATGGCAGTTCTTTCAAGACTGGGATCCCTTAAGGGCCACCAGAAAGTCGGCCTCTGGGTCTTCACGGGGCGGATACTGTTACGCTGAACTTTCAAGGGACGAATTCAAATTTGAAGCCAGAGAACTCCTAAGTCAACACCCCCCCCCCATCTCCCCCAGCACCAGGTGGGTCAGATGTCGGGCTGAGACTTACACATACAGAGAGATACGATTCATACCTGCTTGTCTGATTAGCATCTCTCTCCCCAACTAGAGCGATAGCTTGTCCCGTGTGCCCTGTCATCGCTGTGCCCAGCACTTGGCATTGCGCCGTGTACACAGTAAGCGCTTACTAGATGTTCCTTAAAAGAACAAGCACTTGGCTAACACTGGCCATGACAGGGTTTGAGGAGTGTTAAATCCATCATCAAGACGGAAAGCTACACTACTAAGAAATGGAGGCCCGAGATGACGCACACGCCCCTCCAGAAAAACGAAAGGATGCAGTGCCTTCAGGAACTTGGGAGCCATGGTGCCCACAGCTGGCTTAGGACCCCTCCTCTTCTCTGAGGCCCATCCATTATTTGTGAGAAACCCTTCCTGAAGAGCCCCGGTCTGCGGGTGCAACTCTGGAGAGGGATTGAAAGTGAGGTCACTTGATCCCATGGTGGCACCATGGGGGGGGGGCATGGACAGCAGGGAAGCTGGGGCTCCATCTGCTCTATCAGGATGCTCTGAAACGAGTGTCCTCCGTGTTTGGTCGCCTTCTACTGGGATGTCACAGCAGGGCATCATGTGTTTGGATGTTGGCTGTTAATGGCTATGGCGTAGATAAGACCTCAGTTAATCACCACCTTCTAAGGTCCTATCAACACACTCTCCGCTGGCACCTAAATAGCATAGTATTTTCACTGTGGCTTTACTTTACCGCAAACAACACAAAAGCCCCGTTTTGGGAAACACTCATTCGTCCGAGGCCGGGAGCGCTTCCTGCCCTTGCAAGAAGATACAGTTCCCAGCACGTCACTCTCTGGGCTAGAGGATTCCACGGAAACCCAGGCCTGGGCTTCAGAAAGCACCAGCAGAATTTATGATGAAAACATTCGAGAAAATTTACGGCTGATGGCATCAGTTTTTTTGGAATTCTCTTTACGGAAAAAGAGCGCTTTCCTCTTAAGGCCCGTATAAGACGAAACTATATTCGTGGGTTTCCTCCTCGGCAACAGCCCGTCTGCGGGCTTGCCTCACGCACCAGCAGGGTTCAACTCAGTGAAAACAAAATGCCTCTATTCTAACAGCCAAAGCCAGGATTTATGGGGAGAGAGGGTCTACATTCTAAATCTAGGGAAGAAAACGAGGCTGTATTTCATCACCTCCTAGCTGGTACTTACGGGCAGTTTTCTGCACCATTTTGGCAGCTGTGGAAAGTTAGTAAAAGGGCGGGAAAATAGGCAAAAAAACAAAAACAAAAAAAGCAATGATAATTCAAGAAAAATACACGGCACCCAAAGGAAAAGCGCTAAGCACAGTGCGGGGCTTCGGGCGTGCTGGTGTATTAACGAACACAGGAAAGTAGAGCTCATGCAAATGAAAGGACACAAAAGAACGACTGAAAAGATGAGTAACCTGCACGTGTAAAGATTGACTCTTCCTTACAGGTACACAGAGTGCCATTTCCAAGGCCTGATTGTACTGTCACTAGCTTGGGGGGTTTAGGGGGGTGATCACCGAACAGAGCCGAGAGCCCTCTGCTGGCATGTGGGCCCAGCCAAAGCAACGGATAACCCTGCGCAGGAGCCTCAAGAGTGAGCCTACGGCAGGTGGGCACCCACACTCTTACCAGACACACGGAAACTCCCTCAGCGTCCACCAGCCACGAAGGCCCTCGGAGTCAGTGGGTGCTGAGCTGGCCCAAGAGGGGACAGAGCTCGTCTCTGGGTGGGGCCGTCTCCGGGGACCTGCGTGGGTCCCACTCCAGAGGCTGCCTCGGGGCCCTCGGGCCAAGGTCCTGGCTTCCTTAGAGTTCTCTCCCCGGAAAGTGCTCTTTGGCCTAGAGCCGGGCCTGGGGGTGGCGCCTTTCCTCCCTGGTGCCGTTGGGAGGGAGTGGGCCCGGCCGGCCTCCGCCCCTCCATCTGGCCGGCTGCCTGGGACGGGGCTCTGGTCCGGAGCACAGAAGGCCCGGGTGGGGGGGTCCTTGCAGCGGGCGGTGGACGCGCAGAGCCTTACCTCGTTCAGACCCGGAGTGATGGTGGGCGCGGCGATGAAAACAACGAACGGCGCGAACTCGGCGGTTCTCAGGACCTTGAGCGCCTGCGGACGGAACACACGGGAGATTGAGACCCAGAGCGAGGGGTGCGGCTGTCACCGAGTCTGCCCGAACGGGCCCGTGACTCACTTCTGGCGAGGCGTCTCAGTAACCCCTCGGACTCCTTTCCTTCCCGAGGATGGAGAATGGCCACCAGTGAGTAAAAGGGGACAGACCGGACATTTTTTTTTTTTTTTTGAGAGAGAGAGAATGAGAGAGAACACATGAGAGGGGGTAGGGTCAGAGGGCAAAGCAGACTCCCCGCCGAGCAGGGAGCCCGATGTGGGACTCGATC